GGTTTGTGTCTTTGGCTGGCGGGAGCTGAAGGGCACAGGGAGAAACGTCGCCTCAGGTTTTCTGGTAACTTGGAGGGAGGAGGGGGGAAGGGGAGACTGTTTTTTTTTCTGGCCTCTGCAGTGATGGTTAGGGCAGAGGGCTCTGCTCCGGGGAGCATCTCCACCCGCAGCATCCCTGTGCCTGGGGGTGGTCCAGGGGGGCAGCAGGGCAGGGCAGGCAGCTGGTTTGGTTCTGCTGGCTGAGCAAATGCCTCCCCCTGAGGAGTGGCAGCCCCGGGGACATCAGCTCTGCTACAGCAAGGAGCAGTGGCAGCAGCAGGGTGGCTGTCACTGCTCTTGTGCCTCAGGCCACTGCCACCTGATGGGACTTCTGTGCCAGGGTGGAAACCTGCAGAGCTGGTGGCCTTGCTTTGATGGGGTCTCTGCTCTGCCTTGACCCCAACAGCTGCTGCCTGAGGAGCACTGTCTGCCAGGGTTCTCTGGTGCTGGAGACCACAGGGAGGGAGGTTAGTTCAGGAGTGATTCAGCAACATGTGGATATTTGGGTGCTTTGGTTCCTGGCAGTGTCCAGGTGCACTAGGCTGATGCAGGTGACTCTTTGCCCCTAGGACAGGGCACAGCTGAAATGAGCCCCAGAGCTCGACTACCCCTTTTCAGGGTGGATGATCCAGAGGCAGGAGCTGCATTTAAGGATGGGAGGAGGGATGGGGCCTCCACAGCAGATTTGGGATGTCTGTGAACTAGCATTATGCACCAGGACGTGCCTGTTTGTTACAAGTTCATTGTTACATGACTTGCTAACCTTGTGCAACAGCCTTTTGGTTACAATCACTACAGCCAAGCAATCACCTCTTTGGAATCTCTCCCCTCTGCATCCCAAGTTTTGCTTCTGACCTGTGAGCATCTGCTGGAAATACTTTATTCAGCATGGCAGTGAGTAAGAATCTTGGGTGTAAAGATCCGAGTTTCCTTCAGGAGAACTGATTCATGAATCCCAGCAAATAGCATCTCATTTGGAGCAGACCAGGAGCTGGCAGGCATAATAGTCACCTGCTGTCTTGGCTTGACAGCCTAGGATTCAAATGGAGTCTCTTAGCATCTCAGGTAGCTAGGGTGGTCCCTTATGCTTTTCATCAGCTAAGGTCACTTGGTGAGGGTGGCAATGGAACCTCTTTGCTCTGCCAGCCCATCTGGTGGCCATCTGCCCTCATCAGCATCAGTCTGGGTGTCTGTAGATGGAGTGGCATGTAAAAAATCAAGGCAGGCACGCTCTGAAGACTGGAGATCTGTTGGGGGGGCTGTTCTGGTCTTGCTTTGCTGCACTTCAGGCTCAGCAGCTCAAAAGTGAAGCAGCCATGCTGAGGCCTCAGTGCTGGCTTCTGTATTTTCTCAGGTGCTGGAGCTTTGCCTCCAACCCCTTAGGCAAGCTGGACTTGGTAGCAAGGGATGCTTCACCCTTTCTGGGCTGCAAGAACTGGCTGCAAACCGTGCTGCCTCCTCTAAAGGATGTGACTCCTCAGGGACAGGAATTCAAAGTCCTTCAGCTGAAATTCCCAGGGCCTGGAACGTGCTGGCCTTGGCAGGCCCCCAACGTACCAGCAAACTCAAGGCTATTCTGTCACGTGCTGCTCACAGCTGAGTTTTCATGTCCGTGGCCTCTGCTGCTGCCTGCAAGATGTGAGGGAATTCTCTTAATTGTTCCCTGGCTCAAAAAACTGCTCCACAGCATGAAGCACTGAGCTTGTTCAGCAGAGGAAATGCAGATCTGCTTACGTGGCCCAGTACCTCTACATTGCCAACCCAGGCCAGGGCTGAGGCTGGCAGGATGCTTTGTGAGCTGCCTCTCAATGTGGTGTGGACCATCTGGTCTTTATGAAAGGGATGAGACCAGGGTGCAGCTGGTGACTCCACTGGTCACCTCCTGGTTAAGAGAGTCACTCATCATCACAGGGCATCAGCAGCAGCATTATTGCCTGGCTTATCTGTCTGTGAAAGATCCTCTTGCCTGTTGACAGCCAGGAGACCCAAGTGCTTCTTCCCTTCTTCCCTAGTCTGCTGTGTGGAGTCAACTTTCCCTTTAGAAGCCAAGTGATGCCTCCTGCTGAGTCTCACCAGATCCATCACTCGTGCCTGATGTCAGGGCATTGCTGAGCACTAACAACCTGTTCTGAACTGGCCCATTGCCACTTACTGGAGACACCACCACCCTGCACAGCAGACCCATAAAAGGCACAATCCCTCTTTGAATAGCTGCTGGCCAAGGATGTTGCAGGCAGGGAGCTCCTGAGGGAGTCTAGGAGCCCCAGAAATTGAGATTCTCTGATACAGGCTGCATCCAGTCACCCAAGTGCTCTCGTCTTTTCTGTTTACCTTTCTGAAAAATGAGCTGGGGAGAGGGATGTCTGTCACAGAGGAGGCTAGAGGGACATCAGGAATGCCACAGTGATAGACAGTGCAGCTGAACCTGTAAACTGTCACTGCTGCCTGGAGAGGAGACTTGATGCCTTTGTGTGGAGGCTGGGCACTGCTTGTGCCATAAAATAGCATTGGATGCAGCAGCAGGTCCTCTCCTGTGTCTGCTGGGCACACTGGGAGGGGGGAATTAGGACATGACCCACATTTCTAGTCCTTGGGATAGGCAAAGGGCTCCTTTTGCTCAGATCTGGATGTGCTTTGTGCTGGACTGCAGGAACTGCTGCCTGCCCCCAGTGCAGACCTGCACATTTTGCTGAGCACAAATTATTTTCCATTTCTCGTTTCTTCCTTCAAAAAATCAGCAGGACCAAAGCTACTCATGTCCTGACCCTTACAACCAAGTGACCCAAAATGTTAGCACAGATGCCTCCAAAGGCCTGCTCAGAGCTGCTGTGATCCCCTGTGTGCAAAATACCGAGGGTGAAAGCTGAATTTGAAGATGTCTGCAGGCAGAGCTGCTGTGTGTGTGCAGAGGGAGAAGGCTGTGTACCCAAGTGGGTGCTCAGCAGGCTGGATACCCTTTATCTCTTCTGTGTGTGGGAATGTCTCAGAGCAGGCATTGAGGCTCTCTCTGCCTTGTGCTCCCTCCCCTCCCATCTAAAGCACTTCTGAGCATGAGCTGGGGTAACTGGGAGCAACTTTGAGCTGAGTTTCCAAACAAAACTCCTCAAGAGTAATGGGGTGAGAGACTTTAATTAGAAGAGACCTCCAGCCTTCTGTGTGCACCAGAGCCACTTGATTACAACTCACTGAGCTGCTGAAAGACACTGACTAGGTCAATGTGCTGAACGCCCTTCTTGCCTGAAGCCAGCACTGTCTCTGTGCTGTAGAGCTGGCAACTGTGTGCAGTTTTCCCCCCCCCATCCTCTCCACCCCCTTGCTGAGGCTCCACATCCTCTCTGGCTGCTTGTCACTTCTCTGCGGATGTCTAGACAGGAGGATTCAGTGCGTGTCAGTTATGCCTAATTCATTTTAAATAAATAAATAAGTAACTAAGTAAATAAACCCCACCAATCCAAACCCTAGGGAGAGCTGGGGATTCTCAGTCCTGCAGACTCAGCTCTGGCTGCAGTGCCCTGTGCTGCCTTCAGGCTGGCTCAGAGCTGCTGAATCCCAGTGGTGGCAGGAGCCATCCCAGCCCTGTCGGGGGGGGGGTTCGGGAATCGAAGGCAGATGTGGTTGAGGGCAGTACTGGCATTGGGAGCAGAAGGGAGAGGATGTGGAGAGGAGTATTTGGGGTGGAGGTGTGTGCTCCTAACCTCTCCTTGCAGCTCATCCCTGTTGTGTGTTCTTGGTGTGATGGTGTCCTCTGTTGGGAGCTGGCAGAGGGGTGCAAGGTGTCTGGCTGTCTGAAACGGCAAGCTTCCAAACTCTGCTGTCCCTCCTGCCACCCCTAAAGGCAGAGCTGGTGCCAGGAATGACACCCCCTTGCCTGTAAAGCCACATTTCCATCAATATTTGCAGTCCTGACCTCTGGATACTTGCAGCTGTAAATCAACTGTCACTGTAGCAATGACTGAAGCTGCAGTTCAGAGCATCTGCTTCACTTGCTGGTCCTGAACTCGCAGGTCCCTCTGCTTCCTGACAGTTGCTGGCTCTTCCAGGCTGAACACACAATTAACCTTCTATTAAAAAAACTGAACGTGAGCTGCTGCACTGTCAGTGTCTGTTTGAATTCCTTGGATGCAGGTAAAATGTTACAGGGGCTGAGAGAGGCTGGGACTGCTCTCAGTGGGGTTAAAAATAAGTGTTTTGATTTCTGTTGTAGGGGAGATGGAGATGCACTTGGAAGCAGTGTTTGTATGTCAGGCCTTAGGGCATGTTTAGAGCAGGGGATGATCCACAGCAAAGCCTTGTTCCCAACATCTGGCCAGCTGCACAGGATGTGTCTGTGCAGTCTCCTGGTTAGCCCGATGGACACAAAATCTCCATCCCAGCTGTCAACAAAAAGCCTTTCTCCAGGGCCTTCCTGGGGAAAGGGCAGGCTCTGAACTTTTCCCTGGAGGATCCTCTGTTCCCTGTTTATTGCTCAGCACACTTCTTTTCACTCTGGATAAAATATGTTTTTTTGTGCAAAGAGAACAGGCCTCCCTTTGGGCAGGGATCATTTGCATTAATTAACAGAGCTATTATGCATGGCCACACTCTGGCGCAGAGGAGCTAAACAAACCCCTTCTATTTTTTTGTCATAACCTAAGAGTTATTACAAGTCAGCCACTGCATCCATTGGAGCTGAAGCCCAACACGTGCATTCATGCTGCTGGATGCTCCACAAAAGTGGGCTTGTGTTTACTTCTCCCCACTGGAGCTCTGGACACTGCTTCCCTGTGTCGTGTGGTCCAGGCTCTGGTTCCCATTCATTATATCTTAGCAGACCTTCTTTTCCAGAGGGGTGTGGGTGGAGAGGGGAAAGTAAGAGCTGGTCTCTACCTCTTAGCCATGGGAATTGCTGCAAGGAAAGATAATGTCACCCTTGTCACTCTCTGCATTTGTATATGTCCAGAGTTGTGCAGTGACTCAGTGGCAGGGCTGGGAAGAGAGCCCAGCACTTCTGACCCTCTTTGGGAATGCGTTTGATGACTGAGATGCCAATGCATCAGCTTCAGCAACCCTCAGGCTGTAGTGCCCTCTGTCCCTCTCCAGTTTCTCAGAGCACAGGGACAAGCAGTCCCATCTTCTCCCTGCTCCTCCATCCTGAATTGTCCCCCCCTGGTCCTCCCACTGCTTCAGAGCTGGGAGCTCCAGCTCCCAGGAGGGCTGAGGCCAGTGCCCACAGAGCTGGGGCATGACTTCAATGCTGATGGGGAGAACTATGCTCAGCAGTGTAACCAGCTCTAGTGGATCAGGAAAACTCTCAGGCTTGCAGCTAGGGAGGGGAATAAAGCTGAAGAAGCACCGTCTGCCCTCTGCTGCTAAACCAAGTCTGGGAAGGGAGCTCTTGAGCCCAGGTAGAGATGCTTAATAGGTATAAAGCACCTTTGTGTGGGCACCTCTCATCCAGCAGTGCCCACACACATGAATTAACATGCTGAGGGGGTCCTAGGGATGTTGCATCTTTCTGAAAACCTCAGCTGAGGGGGGTGGGAGGAAAAGGCCAGTTAACTCATGGGCCCTTCTTTCCTGTCAAGGGCACAGTGGCATCCTAATCTCATTGTTGGAAAGCATCAGCAGACATTGCCTTTGCTGGGTGCCCGTGGGTCTTTCTTGCTGACAGAGAGATGAGGAATCTCACATCACGCAGGGTGATGCAAATAGAAAAGGGCACTGCAGGCTTCTCCCCTGCTCAGCCAAGATGTTTATTCATCTTTTTTCCTCCCCCAGACTCTAGTACGTGGTACAACTGCTATTTAAACACGAATAGAAGGCTGCACCCGTGGCTGAGCAGGCACAGCATGGTGGGTTTCTATTTTTAGGCTCAGCCTGGCTGGCAATGTGTAGGTGTGGTGAGGAGCAGAGAGGCTGAGGGGATTCTCTCGCCGCAGGGACGCGGGGGCAGGCACACGAGTGCAGCACACAGGCTTTTTTTTCCTTCAAGCTGCCTTTTTCTCCTGCTCCCTCCCCCTTTCTCCTGCTGCTCAGTTATTCTCTCTTCACTCCCCCACCTTTTCTTTGGGTTCTGCTGGCAGGGAGACAGTGAAATGCCTATTTGAAGCACCACGAGCAGCCTAGATGCAGGCAGCATGGAAAGAGAAAACATCTTTGCACAAACAAATGCCTGTGTTTCCTTGAGCAGGCAATTTTTGTTTGCTGTGATCCAGTAGAGTTGATCCTCCTGCTGCCTCCCTGAGCTCTCCCAGGTTGTATAGAAGGAGTGTCCTGCTCCATGCTCTGTGGTCCAAGCTCTGCATTAAGTCTCAACCACCCCATCAGCATCTCTGGTCCTTGCTGCCTGTGCCTCCTGTCAGCCTTGTCAAACCAAAACTACCTGGAGTTCAACATGACCCCTTGAAGTGCAGCCAGGGCCTCAGCTGGCACTGCTTCCAGGGAGATTTAGGAGCTCTGCTTTGCCCCAGCTGCCTGCTAGGCCAGGAGCTGGCAATGCTGGAGCAGGACTGTTTGGGGCAGCCTTCAAGCCATGGAGAGCTTGGATGTGCCTGGGTAGAGGATGCTGGAGGGATGTGGAGATCAGGATCCTGTTCCCTAACTGACCACCTGGGACTCCCCAGCCTCCATCCAACCAGAGGCCTGAAATACAAAATGGCAGAAGAGTTGAATCCCATGTCTGGAGGATTCTGTGCTGAGACCACAGAGCTGTCTGTTGCCTTTGCCCTCTGCCTTATCCCCCTGAATTGTGACAGCAGTGCTCTGAGCTCAGCTTTTAAAGCAGCTGAGTGCAATTCAAATCTCCAAGCATCTTCTGGAAGGGAGCAGCCAGCACGTGGTCCATAACATCACTCTTGCCTTTTTTAGGATATGGGATTCCCTGGTTATTTTTGTTTAGGCTAATCAGGGTTGTCATGTTTGCTGTCTCTAGTGATCTGTTTAAGCTGTGTTTGATCAATGCAGGACTGGCATGTCCTACTGAGCCTGCTCAGATCAATGTTTCTGCTGAAATCCTGTGGAAATGCTCTTTGTTGGGCAGATTTGGAGAGGTGCAACTTCAAGGACAACCAGTGTGAGTGTGTATGTTGTAGAGCAGTGCCCTTCTGAAGGCTGGCAAGGAGGATTGATCCGGAGATGAACAGACCTGGGAAGCAGTGAGTGTCACAGAGAAGAGTCTCAGCATCCCTTTGCATTACTTGTTTTCCCCAGGGACTGTCTCCTCCCCATCACTGATTCATGAGCAGGATGAGGTTCCCCTGGCAGGGGCTGGTTAGACAGGAGCTGATCTTGTGCAGGGTCTTTGAGCAGTGGTGGGCACACCTTGGGGGCTACAGGAGTTGTCTGTGGCTGCAGTGATTCCCGCCTGGGTAATGCTTTGTTTTCCCTCCCCATCAGTGCCCCTGAGGAGGGAAAGCCCACCACCTACCACCTGCAGCCATGGAAGGGGGTGTGCAGCTCCTCAACCGCGACGGCCACAGCATCTCCCACAACTCCAAGAGACATTATCACGACGCCTTCGTCTGCATGAACCGCATGAGGCAGCGCGGGCTGCTCTGCGACATCGTCCTGCATGTGGGCACCAAGGAGATCAAGGCCCACAAGGTGGTGCTGGCGTCGTGCAGCCCTTACTTCCACGCCATGTTCACAAGCAAGTAGTGTCCTCTCTTCCCCACGGCCGGGGGGGCTCCCTGCTCTCCAAACCTTCTCTTCCCTGTCCTGCTCCCTATTCTCACTGCCCTGCCCTCTGGAAATGTGATGCCTGTATCTCATCTCTGAGCAAGTGCAGTCATGTTCCTCATTTAACTCCCTTCCATGAAGCCCTTTGCCTGTAACCCCCTGCCCATGTGTCTTGATGCCCATCCTGAGGCATGGACCCCATTCCCTGCAGTCCCCTATCAACAGCACAAGGGGAAATGGCTTTAGGTTAAATATCAGAAATAAATTCTTTCCTGTGAGGGTGGTGAGACCCTGGCCCAGGCTGCCCAGGGAAGCTGTGGCTGCCCCATCCCTGGCAGTGTTGAAGGGCAGGTTGTATGGGGCTTGGAGCAACCTGGGCTGCTGGGAGGTGTCCCTGCCCATGCAGGGGGGTTGGAACTAGAAGAACTTTAAGGTCCCTCCCAACCCCAAACCACTCTGGGATTTGATTATTCTCCTTGCTAAGAGGTGAATGGGAGACCTTGCTGGGCTGCGGAGGTGGATGCAGCTTATTCTGTGCATGGTCAGGTCCTCCTGAAGGGAAACAATCCTGCTGTGGGACTTTGTTCACATCCAGTGTCTGTGTTGCCACAGATGAGATGAGCGAGAGCCGCCAGACCCATGTCACGCTGCACGACATCGACCCCCAGGCCCTGGAGCAGCTGGTGCAATATGCTTACACGGCTGAGATCGTGGTGGGTGAGGGGAACGTGCAGGTAGGAGCTTCCCCCCAAACCCCTCTTCTCCCCAAACCCCTTCTGTATGACACTTACCTGCTGGGGGCTCTTCTCTGCCTCTGCTCAGCATGTGCAGCTGTTTTTCTGTGATGGCACCTGCGTCTGGCAGTGGTCAGAGAGGTCATCTCCTCCCCTGGGCCCAGAGGGGTGGCTCCTGTGGCTGCTGCAGCTGGGTATGGCTCCTGAAAGCACTGTGCAATGTCCAAGTCTAGTCCTGAGCACCTACCCTTCTTCTGCCATTGCCTGGCCCTATGGGGAGTTACAGGTGTCCTCCTCAGCTCTTCTTTAGCTTAGTCCTGTTGGAAGCAAAGAACACTTTGTCCTCCATGTGCGTGTGTGCCTGAGGGTGCTCTATAAGACTCTTCTGTTATTGACTTGCAGTGAGATGAGGGTGAAAACGGTTTCCTTGCTCTGGAATCTCTTTCCCCCCCCTTCTTTTCCACTGCCAGACACTTCTTCCTGCTGCCAGCCTGCTGCAGCTCAACGGTGTGCGGGACGCTTGCTGCAAGTTCCTCCTCAGCCAGCTCGACCCATCCAACTGCCTGGGCATCCGGGGTTTTGCTGACACACACTCCTGCAGTGACCTCCTCAAGTCTGCACACAAGTATGTCCTCCAACACTTTGTGGAAGTGTCCAAGACAGAGGAGTTCATGTTGCTGCCTCTTAAACAGGTGAGGTCCTGATGGGAGTGTGAAGGTATGGGAGTGGTAAGGCTTTTTGTGCTGGCTCCTGGAAGGCACAGTGTGGTTGTCAAGGACCTGCACTCAGGGGACAAGGTTTAGGAGGAGAAGGCACCCAGATTCTGGGCTTTGGTCCTTCCTGTTCAGTGGAGAAACAATACATGGGAAGAGTTTTATGAAACATCAAGCTTGATAAGGATGGGAGGGTAGCACGGAGGGTGACTGGTGTCACTAGTGCTGTCACTGGTGCTTGCCATGTGAGCTCTGAGCACACTGTCCTCTCTCTGGGAGCACAGGCCAAGTCCTGTCTGCCCTGGTCACATAGTTGTGATGATTCAGAGCTCAGCTGATGTTTCCTGCTGCTCTTCATGTGGTGCCAGGCTGGCCCCTGGCTCCTTGTCATTGCCCGAGGGGTGCCCAGCAGGCATTCCCAGTCCTTGCTCTGCATCACCCCAGTCTCTGTGGTCCCTCACCACGAGACAGACACTTCCCTTCTCCCATTCTTGGGGCAGCAGGGTGCATGGCAGCAAGAGGAGGGTATGTCTCTCCAGTTGCTCCAGCTCTGGCATCCTGCAGGTGAAGTGAGTGTGCTGGAAACAGCCAGGACTCCTGGCTCTGTCCCATGAACTATTGAAGGGATGCCTGCAAGCAGAGTCATCTGCCTGATCTCCCTGATGTTGATTGGAAGTGTCAGGAATTGTAGCAGCTTCAGACCCAGCAGGAGGGGAATGAGCTGAGGAGGGTGGAGGGCAGAGCTGTCTCCACAGCAGTGCTGCAAGGAGAGGGGAGGCACAGTTGTACCTGCCTGGTTTGGGGGACCCAAGTTGCTCTTTGGACCCTTCTACTTCCACTGAGACTGGCTCTACAGCAGAACCACCAGCATCTCCAGCAGGCAGGGGCTCTCCCTCTGGCAAAGCTGTTCTGCTGGGCCAGTTACCTGGGTGTGGGAACGTGTCCTTTCCTCCCAGACCACACCAACCAACACTTGCCCTTTCCACCCCACTCTGCAGGTGCTGGACCTCATTTCTAGTGACAGCCTCAATGTGCCATCAGAGGAGGAGGTGTACAGGGCTGTGCTCAGCTGGGTCAAACATGATGTGGACAGCAGAAGGCAGCATGTCCCCAGGGTGAGTCTGCTGGGGAAGGTGACCTGGTTCTACTCACCAGCTCCAAGTGCTTGGTCTGGGTGGATACATAGCTGAAGGCAGCTGCAGGGTGGCCACAGACAGCAGGTCCCTGCCATACCCTTGCAGTCCAGGTATAGATGAGTGTTTTTGAGAAAGTTCAGTCTCACAGAGTGAAGTCCAAACTGTTTACATATCCAGGGGCAAAGCCCTGTCTGTCCCTGGCAGCTTGGGCACGTGGAGCTCTGTGGAAGATGTAGGCAGCAGGAGAGCTCAGCCCTGCCTGCAGCCTTCCTGAGCTTTCACACGCATCCTCAGACAAAAAGCTCAGGCAGATTTGAGCAGGGACTTATTTTCACCCATACTTTTGTCTCTAGCAAGTCCAACCATTAACCCAGCACTGCCAACTCCACCATGTCCTTCAGCACCACATCTACATCTTTTAAGCCCCTCCAGGGACGGTGGCCCCACCACTTCCCAGGCCAGCCTGTTTCAGGACCTCACAACCCATTTGGGGAAGTAATTGTTCCTAATATCCAATCTAAACCTCCCCTGGCACAACTTGAGGCCATTTCCCCTTGTCCTATTGCTTGTCCCTTGGGGGGACGTTAAGGCTGAATCGCTGCATGTGCTTTGGTGCCCTTTGTCACCAGCTGCTGAGCGAGCAGGATGACACCTCTGGGGGGAATCAGCCTTGCTGGGGTCCCCAGGGTTTGCTGGGGAGATGTTTTGGGGACCACCTTGCTCAGGGGGCCGCGGCTCCTCTCCTCTCAGCTCATGAAGTGTGTGCGGCT